CCGCTCCGGGGCGTGGGAGGGAGAGGGGGAGCGAGCAGAGGTGGGGGGAGAGGAGGGAGGAGGGTGTCAGTGATGCAGGTGTTTCAAAATCAGCTGTTACCTGGTTTTGAAAAAGTTTTGCTGAGCGTGATGCAGTCTCGGAGGGAGGGTGAGAAGGGAGCGAGTAGCCCTTCTGTGATCTCGGTAATGTGTTTATGCTACAGAAAATGTACCCGTACGATGTTAAAGGTAGTAACATTCACTGGGGGTTGAATTCTGGTGGAATCTGCTCATTAATTTAATTCTTCCCTTTCTCTCCCGTATCGTTCCAGCATCTCCATCACCAGCCAAGCAGAGAGCAAAAATGGATGACATTGTGGTGGTAGCCCCAGGAACACAGTCCTCCCGGAATGTCAGCAATGATCCAGATGTCATAAAACTGCAGGAAATTCCCACTTTCCAGCCCCTTTTGAAAGGTAAGCGATTGTTCTTCCTCTGTTTTTAAAGGCTTTTTTTATTTAATGTAGTGTGAGCTTTGTGCATCCTGAGGTTCCCACTGAAGCTCATCTTTCCATCCATAATTTTCACTACCCCCCCTTGTTTTAAACCTTACTTTCTTTTATTCTTTCATAATTATTCCCCGCCTTCTAAACAGTGGGTGAGCTGGTTTAGAGGTGTGCTAGTGATGTTCTCTGCAGTGGAACTGTCTTCTATGGAGACAGTACAGCCCCAAGCATGCCAGTTTGCTCTGTACCACTGATTGTTGAGTGATGCTGTGTTACATTCTAATATATAGTGGACTGCAGTTTCCAGTTTTGCTCCAGGTGCTTTAAGCATCTGTGCAGTTTCTTGAAATCAAATGATTTTGTGGGGTTTTCCAACCTAGAGCAGATTTAGTTCTTGTTTTTTAGGGTGGCAGGGGGTGGACTGAGACTTGCGTGGGTCCTTGAGCCGTATGTTGACAACATCCCTTTATGTCAGTGAACTTTTAAAATTCCCACTGTGTCTTGCGCATGCTCTCTCTCTCACTCTCTTGCTCTTTCTCTCTTTCTTCCCCTGCCACCCATTCTTTGTTCCTCCTATTCTGTTCAAAGGGAAGTGAAGACTTAAATCAGAGTTGTCAAGCCTACAGTTTACCAAAACCTGTGTGTTTTGCGGTGTGGCTTCTAGCTAACTCCTTTTCTGGAAACTGTACAGTGTTCTTAGTATCTGAAAGCCCCTTGGGAAGGAAGATGTCTGGAGCAGCCAACAGAAATTGGTTTGGTAGAAGCAGCTTGTGCCTGGGCTCCTCCTGGAACGCTGTGGGACAGCAAACCTGTCTGAATGTGCTGCATAGTGAACACTCAGTGAGCCAATGGTTTTTTTTTTTGAAATGTGAGGCCTACTGTGCATGCATGCATTGGCTGTAACGCTTGCTCGTGCCTTGTAGGCTTGCTATGACAGAGGGGAAGGAGCTGGGATGTTTGTCCCTCCCTGCTGCTGGAAGAAGTGATGTGGTCTTGTACAGCTGAGGGTTTAGGCACTGCTGGTCTGAGTGTCACTGATTCATGCATGGCTGCTGGGAAGATATGGCAGCCACTTTGCCTTGCAAGCATCACCAGGGGTGACGTGACATCACGTTACTTCGTGGACAGGAACTCTTTACTTTTTTTTTGTGCGTGTGTTTACTGCGTGAGGACCCTGGAACATGACTAGAACTTGTGCACACTATGATAGCCCAACGGGCCATATATTTGTCATTTTATTGGGTACTGCTACATAGGGGTCTAGATGTGCACGGCACTGACCACTGTCCAGCAGAAGGGGCAGAAAGACAGGGAGGCCACTAAGCTGGAGAGAAGCAATCGTGGATATTTTTGGGGCTGGTACTGCAGTCCCTCTTGGCCAAGGAGAGAGTGCGTGTGTGTTGGTTATACACTTCTTTTAAAAAAAACTTTACAGTGGGTGATGATGTAGAAATCTGTATTTGATTTATTCCTGACACTTTCACTGACATTTTAGAATGGACTGTAAGATTGCTGATCTTGGTGCAGCATTCATGTTGGCAGCTGGCTCATTACTTGTGGGCAGAATGTGCTTTGCCTGAGTCCTGCCTTGTGCAAAAGGCAAAACCAGGATCTCACCAGTGGTAGTTTGGAATGTAAATGCTGGAACCGAAATCCACAAAAGGAATAAGGAAGTTTTCATCTGAGAGACCAAATTTAGAAGATGCATTAACATCTGGCACTGAGGTTGTCGTGTACATGTGAGAGTGTGATGACGAAGAGTTTCAGTTCCACCCAGCCTCTAACTGTGGTGAGTAAACCTGGGTTGTATAAGAGCTGTGGCAGTCCTGGGAAGTGGGGCTGGTGATTGCTTCCAGAGGCTGTGTTCCTGGATTGGTGGTTGAGGAACAAGGATACAGGCCTTGAGGTAGAAAGTGAGAGAGAAAAGATCGCAGCAGCCACGTGGCTGAGATACAGAGGTTGGAAGGCGCTGCCTTAGATGGCCAGTCCAGGTCCTTTAGCTACTAAACGTACACACAGTCAGTTGTTCCATGGGAAGTTGTCTTGGTCACTGTGTTTCTTTTGCTGGTCTTACTTTGGACCTGAAGTTGTGTATTTATGATAGAAACCTTCTTTTACATTTCTGTCACTTGGCCTGCTTAGAGTTCCTTCTGAGTCTCTTGAGATGTGGTGACATCTGGTGACTGCTCAAGAGTATTGCATGCTTAATCATGTTAACTTTTGTGAACAGCTTTTTCAGCCTCGAATACTTGATATTTCTTGAACAGGACTGTGATACTTGTGTTCACTACAGAAAGATGTGTGGTCTGTTGAGTGAGTTGGGTCTTGAGAGACCCCAGATCTGCCACAGGCCTGCTCGAGAGGCTGTTCTGTTTTGGACTGGTCTCTTCTCTGTGTTCTTCACATGCAAGATGGTGTTTCTGGAAAGGATGAAGAAGGATACTAGAGATCTTTTGGGAATTAATGCTAAAAACTTGAGTCTTGGACCTATCAACTTGGAGACCTGAAGGTGTGAACTCATAGCCCTTGTGAGCTTCATTATTTTTTTCAGTTTCTCCTTGGCTAAGCAAAGCCAAGGGGTTTTATTTTGCTTTTAAGTTTCAGAAGAAGCCCAATAGTTAAAATGGTGGACTGGGGAAGCATGTGGTCATGGAGAGACTGCATGTTCTTGGAAGACAAAACACTTAGAGCCGAAGCACTAGTCTCTCCTAGCCATATTGAGTTGAGTTTGTGATCAATGAAGCTGGAGGTCATTAACATTGTATGCTCTTGCATGGAAGAAAATGCCAGTGTTGTGTCCGTTATATCTTTCATACTAGGTGTTCCTTGACTTCTACAGCGAACATCGCACCTCAGAGTTACAGCTGTGATTGTGTAGGGTCCATCTGGGTAATGTTTGCCTCCTTTGAAGTGCTGTTGTTGTCACTAAGCATGCACAATAATCGGTGTTTGAGAGGTCAGTGTTTAAGCATTTGCTAATTCCAGTGTTTGAACCTGTGGGACATAGCCGTTTGGTGGGGTAGGTGTTACTGTCTTGAAGTGGTTGTGTAGCACCTACTATGCTGAGTCAAGGACTGCGAGTGTCTTTTTTTTCTTAATGCCAGGCACTATCTTCTCTGGTGCTGTATTGTTGTGGACAGAAAGGGGAAAGTTTATATAATCTAGATTCCTGGGAGCAACAGAGGAAGTCTGCAATCTTCTCCCTTGTTGCAAGCATTTCCTTCAGAGACCGCTTTGTAAGTGATACAGAGCAAAACATGAAAACATGATATGATGTTTCTTTCCTTTTTGCGGCTTCCTGAGGATATTTGCATGAAAGTGAAGCTTCTGTCTGTTCAATGTCCCTGGTTCTTACAGTCTGTTCATAGTGTGAAGTCATAGCCAGCTGTGTATAAAATCAAAGTGATCTTCTGTGAGTAATCGAAAATTGTATTACTTGCGTAGCTTATGAACAAAGCAGCCCATTTTATGAAGGTGTTTGGGAAAAAAATAAAAATGCAATCTTATGTGTAGCTGTGACTAAAGAAGGTCCCTACGGTACTATGGAAGTATCACTTCTGACCAGGGATTATGGTCACACTTTGTGACTAGGGGATCCTCTTTGAGAACTGAGGACTGCTGTCAGGAGAAGGGATCCACTCGATGAAGTGTGGTTAGAGCACTTGGTAAAAACCAACAAGTGGGCCAACCTGAAAACGGGAGCGTTAAATTAGGAATGGTTAACGACCACAGTTAAGTGAGGAAGCAGTGGACAGGGTTGAAAAGGAAAAGGTGGTATTTTGTTGGGTTTTTTTCTATGCAGTTTTTCTTGGTAATTAAAGCAAGATGGGTGGGGTAAGGAATTAAACATTTTTACAAAGCTTTCCAAAATCTTTTGAAAAGGGTGTTTAGGTTTCAGGTTTGTGTTGTGAAAGCAGAATGCTCATTCTGTTCTTCCAGGGGGCATCAGCATCTCTCTCAAGCCTCAAGAAAGATTGAGATCTGCCTTTCTGGTAGTAGTGAAGTGTTATGGTAAACAAAAAAGGCAGATACATATAAAGGACCTATTGGTGCATGTTAGTAATACAGGAGAAACTATTCAAGAACTAGTCATCCAACTACAAATATAATTCCTATTGTGTGCCAAGGTCAGCAAGGCCTGAGGCAAACAAAATGTTGGGAGCTTGACAATATGAACAAATGCTTTGAGAAGTGTATCTGCTAAATTAAAAATCATATTAAAATGGCATGAGACCCACACTCTCTTTCCTTGACTGATCAGTTCTGAGAAAGTGGGCAGGACATGGGTGAGGTTGGAGTGTGGGGCCCTGTTTTGGGCAACTGTCTTGTAAGCTGCATGCTCTAGATTTCATAAGATGAAGTAAATCTTCTGGGTCTTTTTGAAGAAAGTTGACATAACCGATGCCAATTTATGACTATATCTTCTTGCAGCAAAACTGATTTAACTGATTGCCAGTGGGTGAAATGAAAATCTAGATTTCATAAGATGAAGTAAATCTTCTGGGTCTTTTTGAAGAAAGTTGACATAACCGATGCCAATTTATGACTATATCTTCTTGCAGCAAAACTGATTTAACTGATTTAACTGATTGCCAGTGGGTTAAATGAAAAGCAAAAGGTTCCAAAGTTTGTATTAGAAGAAAAGTCTTGTTACTTCTCAGTTACTCAGTAGTAACTGTGTCACAAATAGATTCCAGGCTAGATCAGTGGTTTCTGACAGTGCTTAATGTCAGGTTGGTCATCTGTTTTGGAAACCCAAGATACAAAAGGGTACCTTAGAGAAATGGACTTGTCTGTATGATGGTGACTAAAAGATTTCCAAGCAGAAACCCTTCTTCCAGGCATGTATCTAAGATAGAAGCATGAAAGTAATGAAGTCTAGAATGGAATCATAGAATGGTTTAGGTTGGAAGAGACCTTTAAAGTTCATCTAGTCCATCACCCCTGCCATGGGCAGAGACCTCTTTCAC